CATAGCTGTGTTGCTATGCTATGTCTGAATGCCTAAGCAAGCACACCCCTGAAGTCCTTTACAGCTAATTTAACCACTTACAGCTTTGCTGTTATCAGTGCAAATGTGAGAAGGTCACTGCGTGCCTTTTGGTGGGATGCATGGTAAGGAAGGGTAACTTGACAGCTTTTCTTAGTGCAGGGAAGATGTTCCTGCTGTACCTCCTCAGCATGTAAGCCTTGTGTGGGAAGTGTTGACAGTGCAGTTCTGTGGTCTGTGCTCGTAACAGGGAGACAACAGGAAAGTGGCTCATGTGACATTGCATCCTCTCCTGCACAGGGAACATGGTGACATGAGGGACACATGCTGGGCCACATGGTAGCTGTGAGATCTACAGCAAAATGATACAAGCTGTCAGTGACAAAGCTCTTGGCTGTAAGATAGCTAGTGGAGTCATTTGAGCTCTCCTTAGATGTTCCTCAGTTATCAATGACCTCCGGGCATCAGCAAGGAGAGTTCTGGTCCATCAAGAGCTGTCATGCTTTGACAGTGTTTTGATTCCTGTAGATGAAAATAGCATCTAGTGTTGCCAGAACAAGGTTTTTACTGTTACCCTGTTCTCACATCAGCTTGCATAACTCTGTGCATGTACCTGCAGTGGCATGGACTGAAATTTTTCCTGTACTCGCTGACCATGTCCTGACATTGCTCCTCCCTCGGCTGACTCTGACCTACCAGTGCTCCCTATGAAACTGTTTTTCTCCATCTCTCTGGTTCTGTTATTGATCCTGACCTAACATTTTCCAACTCTGCCATGACATTTCTCCATTGCAGGTTTTAAGTCTTCTCGTGTTCCTAACCTTCTCTTGGACCCTACTATATGGCTGAGCTTTTTGGAACTGACCTGAGAGCAGAAGTTCAGCTTGGCCACACTGAATTCTGTAGCTTCATCTACTTATAAAAAGGCCAGAGTTTTCCTTCTCATTCTTTCCCCTCTAAAGTCAGCTCTCAGCAGCTTTTTAGTAGTTTGAGGTGCTGTGGCATCTTCCCAGTGCCAAATATGCTATCCAGTTATACCTGTGCATGGTGACAGTGACAGTGTCACCAGATCAGGATGTAAATGCAGTTTATATGCCTTGGCTGGAGCAAGTGATAGTGTAGGTGCAGGGATACAGACATCTGGGCCTACTGGGCTCTTGAAAAGCAATGGGACTTTTTTGAGGGAAGGTGCTGAAGACTGAGAAGAGAGCTTGATGTGGCTTACATGTACTTTTTACAAGTAATGTACTTAAATTAAGGGGCAATGGTTGGACTTGATGATCTTAAAGGTATTTTCTAACCTAATTGATTCTAGCATTCTATGATTCTATCTTGTTCCACTGTCAGTCTTGGCTTCAGTTCTGCTGCTTATTGTCTGTGCAGGCAGCTGATACCTGTCTAGTGCACCAAGGGCAGGCAATTTTTGTGAGAACCTCACATTGCATTTTAAAATCTCTGGTCCCTCAGGCATAAGTGAGGCAGCATTTGAATGAATTTGTTCAAGACACTTTTACTGATATCTCTCCATACAGAAAGCAACATTTCACGGTTGCAAGTGCCCTGATGAACAGACTGTACTAACAGCAGCATATCTCAGCCACTATACAGAATTCCTACCTACAGGGACAAGAGCTGTATTTTGAAAAGAGCCAGTCTAGCTTTGGTCAGGATCTATGTTTAGTACATTATCAGTTTGCTGTATTTCATGAGAATAAATAAAACTTTGGGTCTATGATAATTAGACTCTCTTTGAGGCATATTTATGTTCCAGCAAGGGTTCCTAACATTTATGGTTCTTTTTAATGATTCTGTGTGTATATTCAATAGATACATAAACATACAATATGCATATATGTTCTCTGTGTTAACTGCAGTAAATTCAGCTTTTTGGATTAAGAAAAAGTTATTCCAAGACCAAAAATGACACATGAGGTCACTGACAATGCAAGTACAAATTATGACCTACTTTAGATTGTTATAATAGCACAGTGAGAAAAATCTACTGAAATTTGTAGCTCTGCTTTTTAGAGAGATCAAGTGCCTGCAGGCCCTGTTGATTTCTGCTCAGGTGGGCACTCGGCACCCTGAAAACCTGGCTTTAAGTGCCTGCACACATACCTTTTAAATAGCCATTGCTTGTTTGGCAAGAACTTCACTAAGAGAAAAGTATTTGCCATCAGCTCAGTAGAGCCCAAAAACCCCCAGTCTGTTATGTATTGTCTTCCTGTTATCACGGATGATGCTGTAGCACAAATGTGTTTTGGTGTGATAAGGAGCTATGTAAATTGAAGGTCTTTTTTGAAACAAGAGGTGTTTACCTTCTCCTATTCTCTATTTTCTTTCCTTCCATGCTTCTTGCCTCACCATTTAATACAGACACAGACACAAAATCAGCATGAATATTAATTAAGACAGTCACATTTGAATGATATGTGCATTGTGTACACTGGAATGAAGGCAAAGTTGGAAAGGAAATATTGTCAGAAACTTTTAATCTGATGTCAGTGTAAGTAGATACTGTGATTTGAAGACCATTAAAACCTATCGCATATTTCTGGGTCACGTATAGAAAGTATTCTGCCTTGAGATACATTATGTTACACCTTTTTTCAGAGGAAAGGAAATTTTGGATTTCCTCTTAGAATAATATTGACAGGGAAAACCTCTAGTCTCTCATATCTCTACTAATGCTGTAAATCCAAGTCTAAGGTGAGACACTTTGGCTAAACTACTTATAACTCATTTAATTTGCAGGGAAGAAGGGTGACCTTTGAAAAAGTCACGGAAAACAAGGATGATATCAGCACACTGTAGAAGAGCCTAATTGCCTTGAATTTTGGGGCTGAAATTAGATTTTTTTCAATGTTTCCCATAACTCTCTCCTGTGATTGCCAGACTGATAAGTGAAATCTGCACTCAAGCGTTCTGCTGGGAAGCATACAAGAACAGTGCAGCCCTGTAGTATGAGGTCAGCTGCATGGATCGTGAAGCCCAAGAAACTTTTCAGTGGCTGGGGAGTGCTGTCTGCATTTTGAATTGTGCATGAATGATAGGTAGTTTTGCCCTAGTTTTATTTTCACATTCTCCTGCCCCTGACGTTTTCCCTGCAGGACACCACCAAAATCTCTGTGCTTTAACATCTGGGATTTTAGTGCTGATTTATTTTGAAGGAGGTTCAGTAAGGAGTGTTCCCTGATTGTAGTCTAGTATTTCTGGTTACAAGATGGAAAGTGAAATGTTGCCTGTCACTAGAGTGTGTAACATGGATTTCTTGTTGAATTTCACTAGCTTTATTTTAGCTCCAATGTGAAGCCCAGATCAACTGTTTTCTGCTGCCTTTAATAATAGATATATAGATAGGTAGATATCTATATACGCATATAGGTATAGGATTCGGTACAACTGCACTGTCTCTTTGGCGAAATGCATTTAGTATGAAATTCTATGGGGGACAGGAAAAGTTTTCTAGTGACATGACTGATTTATAAACCCTTTAATCTTTCAAACCCGTTTCTGTTTACTTGTTTAAAAGGGTAACATCTTGTGTTTCACCCTCAAGGAGAGGGACACACAACACAAACACAACACAAACTCTGTTTTGAGAAGGAACTCAGAGGAATGAGGTAGCACTAGCAATAATCTGTAGAGCTGAGGTATCACAGTTAAGCATTTCCTAATGATCTCTACTGGCAATGAAGGCAAAACTGTATGCAGACATGATTTAAAGATCTGAGTGACTGGGAGTAATACTGCTGTGTAGAGTATTATACCACCAAAGACTCAGGAGACAATGATAGGTAGAAAAATGACTTATAAAAGCCATATGCTTTTAGCAGGTTTGCTGCAACAGTTCAATCTGCAGCATGTAGCCTGTTGTCAGCTTTATGTATTCACACTGACACTCTAAGGTCATCTAAAAGATGAAACTAGAATTCAGATATTCATTCTGTGAGACACTACTTAAGTGAGCTAACCTAGATAAGTTAAATAGGTTACAGTCTTAGTGTCTGTCTTTCTAGGGTTGCTGTACAGAGGAATATTTGAAGAGATGTTATAGGTTACCAGTATCTTCAGGTTTTAGTGGTATCCACCGTTACACAAAGGTAATCGTTTATCTTAAGTTAGGAGAATTTGTCAAAACAGGATATTCCCCTCCCCCATCTCTGCCTGAAGCATTTAAAGATGCCTTTGCTGTGCATGCAATAGTTATTTGCTCATTTTGGATTCCTGTCAGCCATGCTTCCACAGTCCATGAAAGGCAGCAGCTTTCCTAAAGCACTTATATTCTGCAGCGTGGCCTAGCCTATCACCTTCTTGTATGTCTTCCCTGGCATTATACTTCACTTGTACTGTGCTTCCCTGCCATCTACAAATTCTCCATTTACTTTTATTTTGCTTCTGTTCCTTGGTCTCTCTCTGCTCCTGATGCTTCTTCCATTTTGATATGCATCTTTGTCTCCCAATAGTCTTTGATGACACTTTCTTTTATGCAGTCCCTTTGCCCAGGATAGGTCCCTCCATCTACCATGTGCCCTAGTCATCACTGAATCCCTTACAATTAATTTTCTCCAAGGAGCTGTTCTGATTTATTTGCCTCATCTGTAGTCTTGCTTCCTTGTTTTATTTGGGTGTCTGTCCTCTCCCTTTTCTATTTGATATTTGCTGTGGGCCCACATTAATCTGGGTTTGTGAATCATATGCATGTTACTAAAGGCTGTGGCAGTGTCACGGTGCTTTTTCTGCCCTTGATCCACCAGGGATACAAAGCTAATATAGCTCCAGTCAATATTTCATGGTTTTAATTCTGACAGTTCAGTTCAGTCAGTTGGCCAATGCAGCAGCTGACACACACATATTTACAGCACTCCTGTAATTGCCACCAGTAGCTGTTTGATCATGGAAGAATGTGTTGGTCTAAGCCTGGCCCTGGTGAAGTTGTTATATAAAGTCCAGTAATAATTGCTTCCTCCTCCCACTTTCTTACTTGATCTTTCAGCACACAGGGCCAGAGCAGTCTGTTGTTGTTCACATACTGGGACACCAGAGGAAGGTGGAGGTGCTACTGGGGCCAGAAGGCTGAAAAGCTGAAGCTGACTTGAAAGACTTCTTACAGCATCTGTAAGGTACCTTCGTTTCTTTGAATACCCCCTACCCAATCCTTTGTACTCTTTGAAGCTGACATACAGTTGTTTCATTTAATGATGACAATGCTTATGTTTAGATTTCACTTTCAAAGTTGTGTGTGAAGTTCTGTGTACACAGTATGTGTTTAGACAGTATGTAATAACTTTGAGACTGGCACCCTAGCTAGAACTACTCGTGTAGAAACCATTATGCTTTTTGTTTATAGCATGTATCTGAGTTTAGCTGCTTTTGCTGTATGAAGTTATTTGTTCCTGTCTTACAGTCTGAATGCATTTCCATGAACTACTTGTTCTCTGACATTCATTGTATGTGCCCCACATTTGACTTGAAAGCCTTTTCACCTCTGAGGTGAATCCTTTTCCTGCATGCTTAAGAGAAAAATGTTAAACTGCTGCTGCTCAGAACCTCCAGGAGAAAAATCTGTGGAGATGCTCATGAGTGTTTATTTGTATAAGTTACTTTAAGGTGTGATTTAGTGCTTACTCCTTTCTAATTTTCTCTTGCAGGAGAACAAGTAAGTAACAGGAAGAAAAGTCATGTGAAGGCAAAAAACCCAGCAAAAGCAGTGAGTCTGTGCACAGTTAAAACAAAAAGCTATTCCTGATGCTAATGCAGACAAAAAGAGTGATTTTGGTGAATATGATACATGAGATACTCTATGACCACTATTATGAATAGTGACCCTGAGAAAAAGAGCCCTGGAGGCATGAGCTTTTGGTATGATTGTTTCATGGCTGATGTTGAACCGCACTGTGTTCTCCCATGCTATATTATCATAAAAGATTTTTAAAAGCTTTTGAATTTTAAATAAACGTTTAAATTATTATAAAGTCTGTTGGTCATGAATAGCAGCAAGAAATCAGTTTAGGAAAGAAATTACTCCACCTGTCAGCATTTAAGTGCCATTTGAGAGCCCTTTTAGTGTTTCAGGACACCTTTTATGATTTGACTAGGTGAGCGCTAGCAAATATAAAAAGTTGCAGCATCCTATAAAGCAAATGTTTTAAAATTTCTTTTCCTCTGAACTTCACTGATTACACTACATTACTTGTCATTGCTGAATACTTCTTCAGTGACCAACCCCAATACTCGTTACTTTACATTGCAGTCTTACATTCTTCAATGTGAGAGCTTTATTTTTCATTGCAGTGCCATTTACAAGATGTTAAAAGGCAAGCAGCTGCACACTGTGGATATGTATGGATATTTTTGCTCTTTGCTCTTCCACTGATACAGCAATTAGGCTGAAGCTGCAAAGGGTCAAGAGAAGAAAAGCTCTCCCTATGCAAGTCTATCAAGCTACACATCTCTGAACCTAAATTTCTGGGTTCACTGGTTTTGTAAGAATGCCATTTTGCATTGCAAACAAATGAGCAAATAAACTGAAACCAAACAAATTCACGCTTTCAATTAGGAGTGGTCCAGTGTTCTATTATTATGCATTTTTCCTCTCAGCAGCCAGCATAGAGATCTTCAAAATGTTCCCTTGGGAGTTTCTTGGTTGAGAGTTTTTGTTCTGTTGAAAGGCCTTTTCTGGGCAGTTATCTCCAGAGAAAATCATGTCTGAGCTACTAGACAGTAAACAACAGCACAGACCCACAGGGTACAGAGTGACCTGAAAAGGTTAAAACTAAAGCTAGTGACAGCAGTACAATCCTTCCTGAGTGTCTGTGTACATGTACATGTATAATGTCAAATATAAATATTTTAAACACCCTTGGTCAAACCTCAAGCAAAAGAACTTACAAGACACTATGAAGTATAGGATGTTTTTAATATCAGTTTATTTTTATGTGCATATATAAAGAAATTTGGTTAGAAATGTTTCAGGGTATGTCTTTATCAGTAGTTCCAAGATTTTATACCACTTAGTCTTTTCATCTGTTCTCCCATTGTATCTAGTGCTCCATAATGTTGATGAATGTGACAACTTTATATATCCAGGATTCAATTATACAGTTACTTACACCTACTTCCTGTTCTTCATCTCTCCTTCCTCCTGTAAGCCAAATAATGGGAGATTTCGCCTATACTGCATCAACATCTACAGCTCAAGCAATTCTCCTTCATTCTTTTTCCCACTGGCCTTATGCGCCTTGGTTGCTGAACAATTTGTTTTTACTAACAAGTTTTCTTTTTACTGCCTGTCAGTTGTCACTACAATGCTCCATAACAGGTTTAATAACTGTGCTGAGTCCATTTTCAGTTTTTAACGGAAGAATCTCATTTATTGAATTTCTAGATGCAGCATCTTAAACCTGTTTTAAAGGAGACCACCTTTCTTTTTGTTAACAGGAAACATGTTTAGCATCTGTTTATAGTGGCCTATAATCTCCTCCCCAAAGAAAATACATTTTACAAACTTTCAATTCTTATAAACACTATTGAAATATACCCAAACGAGCCACAGTGCTACACAAACCAAGCTACAAAACTAGCTCTGGCTAGCCAAGATGGCTTGTAAGTAGTATGCTTCAGGGGCAGCATGGCAGCCTGTACAGTGTATATCCATAAATCCTTTTGCATAGTTAGGGGGATTTCACCACTTGAGCTAAGAAATCAGTGCTTCTTCAAAGCTGTTACCTGGCTATTCTTTGTGGATCACAGTCAATTTAGCAGTAGTAGGCTATTACACTGCTGGAGAAGAATCAGCATATTGTGGTTACTATTGTGATACACATAATAATATATAATAATAATTAATAATAATAATAATAAATAATGCCCCACTCTTTCACTGCTCAAGACTCTGGCAGATAAAAATAGAAAAATATAATATGTAATTGCTATGTGAACCTGAATACAGTGTTCTGTATAAAAGTCCTTCTACAATACAATATCCGCTTCATTCTACTAACTGAAAAAACAAGAAAATTGAAAGAGAGAAAGGTTAAACAAAATGGAAACATGACTTTTGAAACTCTTTTTTTTATACTTTACCTCTCACCTGAAGTCTCTGAAGCTGGAGCAGTGCTCCTGTCAGATCTCAGTAGCTGAGAACAAGTGATGAAATTTCATGCCCAAACGATGTCAAAATAAGTTTTCTGTGAAAGCTGCATGGCCTTCTGTAACAAAGGATGCTGTTCATCTGTACAGCGCTGTTATCTGAATGTCAGAATATTTTTTAAATGTCTTCAATAGACATTCAAAAGCAGACCTTTGATTTTTCTTTTTTCTTTTTTTTTTTTTTTAAGTGTAAGAAGGTTTCTTAGTGAACTTGTATGTTAATTTCAGTTTAATCTTAGAATTTTTTTTTGCTAGGCAATGTGAGGAGATACTGTCTGTGATATAAACACATAATTTTCATTTTCTCTCTTTTTTTGTTGTCTTATGGTGTTACACAATACAAATATATCTTTCATATTAGATTCTCTTTGTGTAAATAAGCAGATTCTATGCTCTAAACAGTGTAAAATAAAAACGGACTATACAAACAAAAGGCAGTATTATCTCTGCTAGAAAGACAGAAAAATGAGAACACCTTTATTATTGACTATCCCTAAAATTTGGTTTGGAATTGAATGAAATGCTCTGTTCTCTATTATTACAGTCTTTCTAATACCCATCTCCATACATTCCTTACACTCTACAGGTAAGTACTTTCAGCTGGTCTTACAGACGATTAATAGATAAACACCCTTACTTCTTGTGAGCAGGATTCAGTATGTGTGGGAGCACACACATCTTTGAGACGCCTGCTCTTAGTGTACCAGGGGAATGTCTTGTTCTCCTTCACATAAAATAGTGCCTTTACTAAATTCTTCTTTTTTCGGTGCTACACAATAACTTAAGGGTTTTATTTTTTCAGAGTCTGTTGCACACCATCCTTGTAAAGCTCTCTAAGGGTTCATCATGCAATGAATTTTCTGTCATTCCTGCATATTTGTGCTTCTGTGAAGAGGACAGGAGGGTCTCTTGCTGACTCCACTTTGCCCACTCGGCGAGGGTCCTTGATTCAAATCAAGATCTTTAATCTGACTTACTTTTCTGCTTGACAGAGAGGTAATTGTTCTCTTTCACCTTGAGTGTATTCTGTGGGATTATCTCGCCTGCACTGCCCTGATGTGGGTGGAACTCCAACACGTCCACCCATTGCCACCAGCTCAGTGGCAGCATTTCCTTTTACTTTCCTGTTGCATTTACAGCCTACATTTCTTCACAGAGATGGTCCCTTAGAATGATTTTTAAAAGCATCTGGCCATATTTCTCCACTCTGTTATTACTACTGTGATAATATATATTAATCAAATAATATACTGTGTGGGTTGGAAGTAGATGATCTTAAGGTCCTTTCCAACCCTAACTATTCTATGATTCTGCTATTGTACTTACTGGTAGTACTGGGATTATGCTGTATTTGGCATGCACTACAGATAAAAATGGTAATAACCTAATGATCTAACAGAGTAACTGCAAATAAGAAGTCTTTGCTGTAGTATCTTCTGAATGCATGGCAAAGAGTGATGGTTACATAAATATGTAAACTTTTGCTTTGCTAGCATAGGTATTTACAGTCACAAAGGTGCAGGAAGCTGGAATTCAATTTTTCAGGGGTTATGGGTATTTGTTATGATTTCCAGCCTGTGCAGAGATGGATGCCATCTTGTCTTGTGTCTGGTAATATGAAAGTCAAACTAGGGCAGATTTCCCTACCCCTTGTATAACCACATGTTGTGGTTTAAACCCAGTCAGGTAACTCGTTCACTCACTTCCCCCCCTTCTTGCCCTCCCCCTACTCCTGGAGGGACGGAGAGGAGAGTCAAAAAGAATGCAACTCCCACGGGCTGAGTTAAGAACAGTTTAGTAACTAAGGTATAATACAAATCACTACTGCTACCACCAATAATAATAATGATAAAGGAAATAACAAGGGAAGAGAATACAACACCTCATCACCAGCCGACCGATAACTCGCCCCCCCCCCCCCCCCCCCAAGCCCTTACATCCTGGGCATGACGTGCTGTGGTATGGAATACCTCTTTGGCTAGCTTGGGTCAGGTGTCCTGTCTCTGCTTCCTCCTGGCTTCCCCTTCTCCCTAGCAGAGCATGAGGCTCACAAGTCCTTGGCCAAACCAAAACATCCTTGTTATCAGCTCTGTTCCCCAGCTGAAAGTCAAAACACAGTGCTGCACCAGCTACCAAGGAGAAAAATGACTGCTACTGCTGAACCCAGGACATTATCCACCCCTTATTCCATACCATTCACGTCATGCTCAGATCCCACATTTTCAATATACCATCACTCTTATCTTAGTGCATGGACCAGTCCCTATAAAGCCGCTGAATCCATCTGGTCCATAATGTCAGGCTCCATCTCTTGTAACAGTCTTCCAGAGCAGGAGAGACTGCGTGCAGTGTTCACACCCGTGAATAACCTGGGCAATAGCGTCCATTGCTAAGTCCACCCCTCGATCATGAGTCCATCTGTATGTTGCATCTCTGCTCTGATGGCCTGAGGTGCCATGGGCCCACCAGGCTTAAAATAATTCACTGTCCCCTTCAGCAGTTTCTGCAGCTTGTTGCTGGGGACTCCATACAGCTGCCTTCCATCACCGATGCTTCCAAAGCACTGGAGGGGCCCAGTGGACTAGATACTTGCCCATACTGTCACACACACCCTGCCACTCATGACTGTCCAGCCTTGGAGAAAACCTCTTGGTCCCCCTATATCATCTAACCCCAGACAAGACCCAAACCCGACTCTGCTTAACTTTTGAGATCAGACAAAATGGTTGTGGGTAGAACACAGCCTGTATGTGTGCCAACATGCTGATCCCCATCACAATCAGCAGGCAGGTCCCAAGGATACCCAAAGGCCATTCAAAACCTTCAGAACTCTCAAACGATGCTGCTGTACTTGTCACTGGGGCTGGTGTAGCTGCTGTGCTTGCCGGCTCTCCCACCACCAGCTTCTCTTTTCCTGAGTCCAGCTCTTCCTCCTCTGCCTTGCTGGGAAATGCGGCGTGGTCTCCTGCATCCTCCTGGGGCTCGGTGGGCGGCTGCCGGGGAATGTTCTCGGCTGTCACAGGGCTCGGCTCCTCCGTGGGGCTCGGCTCCTCCGCCGCCTTCTCCCTCTGCTCAGCAGCCGCCTCCTTCCTCTCCTCGACCGCCCCGACCTCCTCCACCGGCAGCCGTCCCCTCGCGGCCTCCGGCCCCTCTCCCGCCGCCGCTTGGTCCCGGGGTCGCTCCCTGTCGGCTCGCCGCGGCCTCACAAAGACGGAGGCGAGGGCGAGGGCCAGGACGGTGAAGAGCAGCCGGACGGCCAGGTACAAGTCCATGGCCACGTCCGTCCCCCCCTGCTGCTGGAGCCCGCCCGTGTTACAAGTCATTGCCATAAAGCACAGTGAGACAAAAAACTTAGCCCAAGCCCCACACTTGATAAACACCAACACAGCGAATACCAGGGCTAAGTAAGTTACAGCATTCTGAAACTGTGAGATCAAGAGGATCAACTCTGAGAGCCAATAAATCAGCATTGTGACGAGTGACTATTACTCTGGTTGTAATGTGTGGGGTTTGTTCATCAAGAAGTTTGGGGGGGGGAGGGAGGCTCTCTGTGGCTCTCGCTGTGTGGAACCATATTCTTTTTGTTTTGTAACTGTTGTACTCCGTGCGTTATGGGGGGCGAGGTCAGTTGTATTATTGCACAGGATTGTGTGGGGGAAAAGAAGGGGTTGGGTGGCTTGAAGTTGTGTCTTGTTGCAACATATGAGGGATGGGGGTTGCAATGGTGAGGAGGCTGGCAGTGGACACTTCTCAAAGCCTCTGGAAGCTTCTCGAAACTTCTTGACGATGAGGCCCCTGCAACAAAGGGAACCAATGGGGAAGAGCCATGTCAACATCCGAGTGAGGAGGGGCGGCAGGATTGGCTGGGGTCTTGAGCCGAGACGTATAAAGGACCACCTCCCAGAGACTGTGTGCGCGTCTTGGGCAGAGAGGAGGACTCCCCAGTGCACCCAGCGCTGTTTTATCTGCTATCGCTTGCTCAGTTTAATAAAATTTATACTTTAAACCCAAATTGGCTCTATTATTGATAACAAATTCGTGCTGTGTCTCAGATGGAGAAATCCTGATGGGACTCACATCCTCGGTGGGGGCGCCCCACTCACAGAGTGGCCCCCTGTTTGTGGTTCATTCCGCCAGCTTCTCCACCGACAAACCTAAAATTCGATAGCAGATAAAAGGT